CTTATCTCTAAACACCAAATTGTAGATCAAATGAAGGAATCACAAAAGATAGCCTTCAACAGCCTACTGCACTACAAGACTGCAAGAAACCCTTTATTCTCACAGCTATCACTCAGACGATGATTACAGAGGCTAAAACACTAATTGATCTCAGTTTACGAGTTCATCATGAGAGATGAAGAACACGAAGTTCTCAAACCCTAGTTTACAAAAAAAGGGAAAAACTCTTAGAAGAACCTAGAAGAACGAAGAAGCTCAAGAGCCAATACCGAGTGAATAAAATATCTGCCAAAGTGGTATATATATCACACACCAACAAACCACAGATCCAAGGGCCAGCAAAGGACCACGTGTCACCATCTGAAGAGAAGTTACAATACTAAAAGAATTGCATTTAGTAAACACGTTTTCAGCCAATGTTGGGAGCACATCACATATCAGGGGTTCGAGCCTCAACACTAAAAATTGAAAACTATGAAACTAACAAGGCAAAAAAATTACTTAATTTAGAACTAGTAATTGAAAATCAATCAAAAAAATACTTAACCTATTTCTTATTATTTTGCTTAGCATATGGAAAGTGATTCAAGAATATACATAATATTCTGTGGCATGCACTTTGTGATTTCATGGGCATTAATATTCTGTGGCATGCACAATCCTATGATTATTTTGCTATTTTTTATTTAGACTTTAGTCAACTCCAATGAAAACGACATTTTGACATTCCATTTTGTAGTGGAACATTGAAGTCAACCCACCAACTAGTTATATTGCCAATTTGAGGGTCATTGGTTAAAATGATGCGACCCTAGTAAATGTGGAGCTGCAAGAAAGCTTAAGCTTAATGCGGTTTATGTATAATGGAAGTTGGACTATCAACACTTGGACGATCTCCAAGAGGTCCACGTGGTCTACAAGTTGAGAATTTTTCGAGAGATCAATAAATTAAGAAAAGTTAGGACTTGGAAGTCAGATTTTACTAACCCTACTAATGTTTAATTCATATTTTGATATTGTATTACCGATCAAAAAATTCAAGATAAAATATTAATATTCGTCTCTCAAATATTAGTTAATGTATCTCTAAATATCAAAATTCCATTGCTCGATTAATAGTTTGAACATAAAGGCTCAGGACAACCTCATGAACAAGTAGAAATCGCTCAAATTAACAACAAATTCATTAAAGTCGAGATTGAGTTGTCTAATACAATCTCTTAATCTAACATATGAACAAATATTATGTTATTTAACTCTCTTTCTCGAACATGAAAATAGATTAGTAAATTCAACACAATTTATAAAACAAAATCCTAAATAATGAATTAAAACATGGATATAAGTCAATTTGCTAGACAATACAGACGATAAACATGGTGAAAGAATCAAAACAAAAAGAAATTGAATCACCCATTTATTCTAAGAATAAGAAGAACAAATGAATATCTTCAACTCCAAAAAAACCCGAAATTATTCAAATCTTGATCTTCAACAATTTCTTAGGACATCTCCCCAGCATAATGAATTATGGTGTTTGAGTAAAATGTACACTTAACAGCAATCTACTTTACACCTTTTCTATGCATAAAAATCATAAAAAAGTATCAAGTGGGTGACCAAATTTCTAGAAAAAGCAGCTGTAAGCAAATATTTTTCTCTAGGAAACATCACAAAATATTTCATTAGCCCTAAAATATCATGATAAGAAAAGAGAACAATTCGAATTCAGGAAATCAATACCATGTATTATTATAATATCTACATGTCAAGATTACGAAGGCACCTGAGCTGCATCAGCTCAATAATCTAACCCCGACCATCTTTCTAAACTACGACGTTTTATAACGTTGATAATTGATCTAGGAGAATCTATCTTAAAGGCTCACCTACTTTCAAATAAGACCGACAGGTTTAATAGGTAGTATTGGAAAGTACAATATAAAAAATTTTAATTTACTTTCTTAATATTGTCCAATCTACTATACCAAACATGTTAGCAGGAACTAAACCATCACCACAAGTACAACTGATTCACGCTCTATAATAAGTAATGAAGGAAAAAAAACTCGTAGAACTCATTAATCTATACTTTACGTATCCATCGAGGTGAAGCTGGTTTTGAAACGCCAGAATAGTATTCACCAATATTTGCCACAGAGTGGATCCCTGTCTTCTAAGTTAAATTGATCACTAGCAGAGTCAGCTAAATTTCCCTGTTCTACTTGTTCCAGTTCTTTCGTTACATTGAGTATTGTCTTCTTTAAAGCTACTTCGCTCAACTGTACTGCCTCTCCTATTGAGACACCGACCATGGTAATCTTCGGGAGGAGAATGATTGTGCCGCTTGTCTTCTATGTTCACTGGTAGAATTGACCTTTCTGCATGGAAAGGTGATAAATCAGCACAAAAACCCAATCAGTACATTCTTGAAAATCAAGCATGTTTGGTAGACTGGACCAGGCAGCACTGTACAGCTTTAAAGAAGAAAAAACAGCAAAAATCTTGGTCTTTGTTGTCCAATGCTATCCAACACTACCACCAAACACATTGCCACAAGTTCTGTAATTAGGTGCCAATGGGAAGACAACCTTTGCTGTTGTTTTAACCAAGGACGACCTGACTAATCCCCCTAAAGGAAATCTGAAATCCAGCATCCATCCTTGTTTATCACAAAAGTTATCCTTTCTTTCCACCTCGGAAATTCCACGACTCTGATTGACATCATCCCTGAACCCTGAGTCAGCAATGAAGCTGGACGACATGTTAGCTCTCAAGAAAGAAGCTGCAATCCTGCAATAGGTCATATTATAAAGACCAGTAGAAAAGGATGGAATTTCAACCATATCAAAAACATGTTAGGTATGGCATAAGACTGTTTGAGTCGATATGTGAACATTTTGGAACAAAGCAAATCCACTACAACCAATTTCTAGGATTCTTTATTGGCAAGTAAAATGAGTAAAAGCTGCTCAAAGAAAAAGGTTCTAAATCCCGTTTGCAATCAAGGATATTCTATATTATAAGTAAACATGTGGAGCAGGGAATAAAGTTAGCACTAAAAGATTATTGACGAACACAATTCTTGGGATGAGACTTGTGTAGCTGTCTCTAGCTTTTTTTTCCATTAGATGACTGAATTCACTGTGGCACCTTAAATCAAAGCGATTATGCCACATTTTCGAATCTAATGTGTGCTCATCTCTTCACATTTAAGGTCACTTAATTTCACATACATATATTTAATTACTAAAGCCCCCAGCATAAAGAATAAATATGGACCAGAGAACTTGAAAATTTTTCGTGTGGGGGAGATTTACAATATAATGAGATTCTGAAAGAAGGATTCATTTAATTTAAATTAAATAACTAAATTTTTATCTTTAGCTGAAGAAGTATAGTCGAAAAGATGAAATATGCTCTTAAGAATCATTAAATCCTATAAATGATTGTTCTGATGTATCATGGAAATTCTTTGAAAGACAAGAATCAAATAATTTTCTGTGGGTAGAGCAAAATCCTGCCTAGGGTAAAAATGCAATTGAGAATGTTGGAGGATAAGAAGCCAACCCATAAAACTCGAAGGATGCAATAGGTAAATTGCCTTCACTTATAAATGAAAGAGTATGTGTTCAACAGCATGGCAGTATGAAGCAGTCATTCTCCAGAGCTAATAGATTTTCATGACACAGAGTATTGAAAAGGTAAGGAAGTACTTTTTTTTCAAATGAATCGACCACGTAAGGGAATTTGGGTTGAACTCCAATGGCTGTCCGTAGCCATCTATTACCAAGTAGTACTTTATCAACAGCGTGGAGAAGCTGAATCTCAGCGGCCCTTGATATGACACTCAATGGTATACCAGGATTACCAATCTCATCCATCATTTCCTGAACCTGTCAGCAGGAAGCAAAAAATAAACTAACCATCAATTGCATATGGGTGGGTGGGTGTGTGTAGTGGGGCATGGAGGAATAAAAACATGCTTAAATCAAATGAAATTACTTTTAGTTAAAAAATTTGTGCGAACAAATCAGTTTTAGTTTCTATTAAGACCCACTACCTGAAATGAAAAGTTCCATGTTCCGTGTTAAACCTCCTCCTGATCCCTAGACCCACCACCTACGACACAGAGTTCTTCATAGCTCTTTTTGCCACGAAATTATTCATCAAAACAATTTCTTAATTCAATTTACTCTCATTCCCATAAAACTGGTAAATTAAGAATGACAATTGGATTTACGGCTGGACAAAACTGCCGAACTGGACCGGACCAAATGTAACTGAATCGAGCGGTTCTTCGTAGGTTAAATACCCGAACGGGTATCTGAATAGAGAACCGATGAGTTGGGTTTGGTTCGGTTCTCGATTCTAGACCAAGAATCGAAGAACCGAATAAGAATCGAATCTAAATAATTTTTCATATTGAATTAATTAAATTATTTTAATTTTTTCTAAATAAATTAGAAAAATTAATTAATTTATTGATTAATGCTCTAACTCCCAAGCAAGTCCATGCCTAACTAACCCAGGCCAACCCAAACCAATTTCTAAATTCAATTTTTTGTTTTAATTTTTTGGCCCAATTATTAATTTCTTGTTAGCCCAAGATCTAGGCCTTATCCTTCCCATTCCAATTTCATTCGGTAAGCAGCACGCACAGGTCCACTACTGTCTAACCCAAAATCATTTGATAAATTTAAAACCTATATCTCCAGGCCCAAATCGAAGCCCCCGCACCGACTGCCAAGTCCGACTTCCACTCTCCAACCGCCCATCGAAGTCGTAGAGAAGCATCAGGTTTGAAGATTGTTGAAGAAATCAGCAGAGAAGTATCAAGTTTTATTATTGGCAATCTCTAATCGGGGTGTCAAATCCACTGAAAGAATTCATTATGTGATTAGATCTTTGAGTGCAGTATAAGCATTAAAATGGAATTTGAAGCTCCTTCATTTCACCGGCTGCGGTAGCTACTGATTTTGGTACCTTTTTTTTTTCCATTTCTATTTGAGTTAAGACTCATTTTCTTATCATTTTGTTCCGTTACTTGGTTATATTGATATTTCTTTTCGAGGTTTCAACTTCTATTCTATTTTAGTTTCACTTCTTTCAATTTGGTATTGAATGTTTATTATGGTTCTTGTTGCATTGCAGTTGGTTACTGATTGATTCGGTTGTTTTTATGTTAATTGGGTTGGATTTTGATTTGGCTGCTTTAGAATGTTGATCTTTGATTGATAGATTTTTTTTTTTTAAAGTACTCTTGGTATCTATATAATTAATAGAAGTTTGAAAAATTATCATACCCTGTATCAGTCATACAAGGATGGCTCAATTAAAAGCATTTTCTTCATGTTCTTTCACCAATCTTCTTTTCTATGGTTCCAAAAAAAGGTACCCTAAATACCAACTGTATGCATAAAATTTCCTATTTTCCTAGTAATGAATTTGCTTAACTTATTCAACATAGAACCAGCCCGAACTTGATTATTTTTTCAACATTGATCATATCGTGTTTTAATATATTTTATTGTTTGCAGTTTGTGTTAGCTCCGTTGACGTGAATGCAAAAGAGTTAAGGTGATACCAGTTTGGATGCTCGAATGGGAGACAAAAAACAGCCTGTTGAGAGGTCAGAAATATGGAATCATGTCACTAAGGTACTTGATGGAGAAAGCAAAATGTAATTATTGTGGGAGAACATTTAAGGCTGATACTAATACTAGAACTTCTAGCATGTAGAAGCACTTAAAAGCTTGTTATGCATATAAGAGCACTGAGGTTGATGAAAGCAAGCAATACTCACTCGAGAAAATAATGATGGTGGTATTACGACTATGGTGTTTAATAAAGTAGAGGGTAGAAAAGCATTGGTTAAGATGGTTATTATTGATGAATTGGCTTTTTCCGTTCTAGAAAGTATGGGTTTTAAGGAATTTGTATGCCAACTTTGTCCTAGATTTGATGTTCCTTCTCGAAGAATGATTGCTCGAGATGTGTTCTATCTCTATTATGAAACAAATGCATAGTTGAGGATTGAATCTAATAATGATACGCAAAGGATTTCGTTAACCACTAACTGTTGGACATCAATTCAAAATATCAATTATATGGTAGTCACAACACATTTTATTGATAGAAGTTAGAAATTGCATAAGAGGATACTTTAATTTTAGGTGGCTCTTATTTGTATGTAAGTTGTTCTGTACACATAGTCAATTTAATTGTTAATGTTGAGTTAACATTGTTCAATCCATATGTAGAAAGTATTCACAATACGGTCAAATATTTTCAACTATCTCCTTCCCGGTTAATAAAATTTAAATATTGTAATGAAAGGGAAAAGATTTTATGCAAAAAAACTTGTTGTTTTAGATATTGCTACTAGATGGAATTCAACATTCTTAATGTTGGATAGTGCATAGAATTTTGAAAAAGCCTTTGAAAGAATGAAGGAAGATGATGGATTTTATTGTGAATATATTGATGAGAATGAAGGTGGAAAAGAAAGAGAGGGACAACCTATAAGTTATGATTGGGAGAAAGCTAGAAAGTTTTCCAAGTTTCTAAGAGTTTAGTACTTCTTTGAGTGTTATTTCCAATATTGACTTTCATGATATTTGTAAAATTCAGCAAATTTTGAAGAAAATGGGTGACAAGCAAGATTATTTGCTAAGTAGTATAGCAAATAACATGAAGATTAAGAGCCGTTTGAAACCCATTTTTTGCCCAAAATACATTTTGGAATAATATTTTGATGGAGAATGTGTGATTAAAAAATAAGAAAAAAATTTGAGTTTACATATCATATTATTGTATCGAAGAATGTGTGGTCCAAATTAAGAGAAAAAAATATATTTTGAAAATAATGGGAACCAAACAAGGCCGAAGTTTGATAAGTATTAGGGTAACGTTGATAAAATGAACAAGATTTTGATTGTAGCAGTTGTGCTTGATCCTATGTATAAGTTGGAATTTGTTATACATTGTATTGGTATCTTTTATGACTTTGTCAAGGTTGAAGATACAAAAAATGATGTTATGAAATTATTGTATGCTTTTTAAAACCAACACAAGGGATGACATTGCTCAAATAATGGAGCTAGTGGAAGTGGAAGTGGAAGTGGTAGTGGTGATTCTAATGGAGTCACTCTATTGAAGGGTTCGAATGATCATGATTGGGATGATTGTAAGTTTGGTTGACTTCCATGATATTTGTAAAATTGAGCAAATTTTGAAGAAAATGGGTGACAAGCAAGATTATTTGCTAAGTAGTATAGCAAATAACATGAAGATTAAGAGCCGTTTGANCTGACTTTTGGATTTGCTATAAATTACTGCAACCCCAGACGGATCATATAGTCAGTAAAGCACATTCTGATGCAGAGGATCACTATGAAGGTACAACTGCAAAGTATACTTATGTTTTTACTCAGATCTTACTCTATATCACTCAAATATATTCTACCACGAAACAATGGAATCATTGAGAATTAAATTTATTAATGATAGGTAAAGAATTTCTTTAACCACTGATTGTTGGACATCAATTCAAAACATCAATTATATGGTAGTCACAGCACACTTCATTGATAGAAGTTGGAAACTACATAAGAAGATATTACGTTTTTCTGTTGTTCCAAATCATTAAGGGGAGACAATTGGGATGCTTATTGAAAATTGTTTGCTTGATTGGGGAATAGAGCGTGTGGGTACCAATATTGTAGACAATGCAAATACAAATGATGCAGTGATCATTTATGTGAAAAACAAGTTGAAGAATTGGAAAATTGACGATACTATGATTTTAGGTGGCTCTTATCTGCATATGCGTTGTTCAGCACACATAGTCCATTTGATTGTTAAAGAAGGGTTGAAAGAGTTTAATCCAACTATAGAAAGTATTCTCAATGCGGTCAAATATTTTCAATCATCTCCTTCTCGATTGATGAAATTTAAATATTGTATTGAAAAAAGATTGTATGCAAAAACTTGCTGTTTTAGATGTTCCTGCTAGATGGAATTCAATATTCTTAATGTTAGATAGTGCATTGAATTTTGAAAAAGCTTTCGAAAGAATGAAAGAAGATGATGGACTTTATTGTAAATATTTTGATAAGAATGAAAGTGTAAAAGAAAAGCAGGGGCCACCTACAAGTTATGATTGGGAGAAAGCTAGAAAATTTGCCATGTTTCTAAGAACCTTTTATGATGTCACGTTAAAGTTTAGTGCTTCATTAAGTGTTATTTCCAATATTTACTTTCATGAAGTTTGTAAAATTGATCAAATTTTGAGGAAAATGGGTGACAAACAAGATTATTTGCTAAGTAGTATAGCAAATAGCGTGAAGATTAAGTTTGGTAAGTATTAGGGTAATGTCAATAAAATAAACAATATTTTGATTGTAGTTGTTGTGCTTGATCCTAGGTATAAGTTGGAGTTTGTTGTACATTGTATTAGTATCTTGTATGATTGTGTTAAGGTTGAAGCCACAAAAACTGAGGTCATGAAATTATTGTATGCTTTGTATAACCAATACAAGGGATGGCATTGTTCAGATAATGGAGCTGAAAGTGTTGGCGCTGAATCTAATGATGGAGTCACTTTGTTAGAGGGTTCGGATGATGATTGGGAAGATTGTAATTTTTGGGTACAAGAAAATGAAAACTAGCAAAATTGATTTTTTTTGGAAAAGATAATGTACAACAATATCTAATGGAACCCACCGAAAATGCTACTAATGGAAATTTTGACATTTTATATTGGTTGAAGATCAATAAATCAAGATTTGAATTTTATATGAGGTTTCTTGCCATTCATGTATCTACAGTTGCTTCTCAGTCAGCATTTAATACTGGAGGGCGCATTCTTGATCCATTTAGGAGTTCTTTAACTCCTAAAACAGTTGAAACCTTGATTTGTACACAAAACTGGCAAAGGGAAGATTATAGACTTTTGAAAGTTTCCCAAGATAGATTTTGCATCGAAGAATCAGAGTTCTATGAGGGCATTGAGATAGGTAATAAATATATATTATATTTTTTTTATTAAATCTTATTAGTTTAACAATTTTTAGTTTATTTGTGTATGTTAATTGTGCTTTTTCAATTATGCATGTTTCTTACTATAACAAGTCAAGCAATTGATGATTAAATCAAATAATTGGTAAGTATTACCAACATTTAAAAATATTTTATTTTTATAACTTTTAATTTATATTTCATTTTTTTATGCAGACTACTTGAAGAAAATGAATTATTGATAAGTATCACCAATGTTTTAGTATTAGTATCTACTTTTTGGTATTTGTATACCTTGAATTAATCTTATTGTACAGCATGTTATTTATAAATTTTTAAATTGAGCTACGTTAATTTGTAAGAGTTACGAATGAAATGTCATTAGTTGTATTTATGTAGTGTTGCTGTAAATATTAAAAAATTTGATCATAGTATGNTATGTAGTGTTGTTGTAAATGTTAAAAATTTAATTATAGTACGGAACCGAATCGAACTCGAACGGTTCCATAAATAATTATATTTGGACCCGACGGTTCCATCCGGACCATGTCCAGCCCTAATTGGGTGCTTGATCTCACAGCTGTTCAGCAAATAACCAGCGTAGACCAATGGATACAAACCTCTGACGGCTCTAACAAGGTTTCTGCCATCTCTTCAACTGCTTCGTCAGAGAGGTTGTCCCCAAGAATATCCTGGCGACGTTGTAAATGTCGTGTTTGAGTTAACACATGGAAATGCTGATCAACAGATTCTTCAAGAATGTTATCTAGCACGTTTTTGTCAAAGAAGTACGGAGTATACCTGATAAACCAAGAGAAATATCATGAGTATCACAAAGTCAAAAATAAACCTGATCCTGACCTTAATGAACATGAAATGTAAGACTATAGATGTGTAATTATTATAAATAGAGAATTTAGCGTCTCAAACAAGATGGAGAATCATTGGTCGGACCTCCTAACTCCCCAAATTGATACGGCAATAGAGTTTAACTTATTTATGGACAAGGGACTTGCACATTTTGCATGTGTGGTTTGTACTTATACCCTTATCAATAAATGAACCCAACCATAATTCTCCCAAAAAAAAGGAGGCTGCAAGAGTAAACAAAAGAAGAGGACAAGGAGAAAGGAAAAAGTGGCATTGCACTTTCCAAACAAAAAGACCAGCACTTGGTTGAATATATTAATTACAAACACATTAGTCAAAAACGCAAGCCAAAAGTTTCATATTTACTAACCAAAATTGGAGCATCATACGTAACATGAAACTGGACGGTAGATAATGATCAGGAACAAAAATCGAAGATGTAACAGATTAACTCACCACTTTATAGCATCTTCTGTCACTATGGCAATATCCAAATTTTGAGCACTAAAAACAGGAACTCCGTTCACTTTTTTTCTCCCATCACCAAGAAACATGGTCTTCAGAAGTTTGTCCGCTTCCTTGACCTGAAAGCAGCAAATTATTGCAATGTATTGCAATGACAAATAAGTTTCAAGGGTATCTCATAGCTCCAGTTAAGAATATATCTATTTCCCCAGTAGAACTGTTCATTGTGTCTAACCTGTTTCTCATTTGGAATGAACTGAAATAAATCAGGTTTTTCCTGCATAGAAATATAAATACATTATTTCATTTGAGTTAGACTTGAAATCTACGGATAAACATATAGTTAATATTGATATGCATCCAAAAATTTGCTCCTAGGCAATAATGTATACATAGCATTAATTTGAATTTCCAATCTAGACCAATGTCAGGAGAATCTCTTCGCCACTCAATACTATGCACCATAAGTTTTATACTGGACAAAATCAATAGCATAGTTCCTCTTACTCTCACACCTTTTAACTGGACAACATGGCTTGCAGGTATAATAATTTCACTTATCCATGTCATAATCCAAGTTGAGCTAATGAAAGAAACATCTTAGGAACCACTTGTACTATATTCTTGTACACTGCAGTTTTATAATTTCTTTATAGTCGGATTATTTGATTACTGCTGAAAGTGAAAAACAGGACATAACAATCGGCAATGGAAGGATGATAAAATTGAAGAGAAGTAACATTTGGATCTCAGAAAACAACACTTCAAATAAGAAAACAACAATTTCTCATGTCAATTAGCAGAATAAATTAATTGCCTTCTACTCCCTGTCCCTTCCCCAAAAAAGGCCACAAGAATATGTAGGACAATTCATAAAGATTTGTCATTGAAATTGATCAAGCTATTACCTTGAAATGTTCATATGCTATATCAAGACGACACGCACCTACCACACCACTGGGTATATTCAGCCGTTTTACATAAGAAACTGGAAATATAACGAGTAAGACTGTCAGCTCTAACAAAACAGGTTGATGATGTTTGAATGAATAACAAAATTCACCTAGAAAAGAGAAAAAGGAAGTCGAGGGTGATTATAAAAACAAAGCTCATGTTTGAGCCACATTAAAATTTTCATTTTCATTCTTCTACTCATTTTCAACTACACAATTTTCAATAAAATAATATTTTCCATCACAGGAGGCTTCAGATTATAAATTATGGAATCCTGGAAAATTATTATACGATTATCATCCATGTTTAAATAAATTATGGGAATCTTAGTGGAGATATTATTTCATTTAGCCCCTGTTTGAGCTCCATTTTTTCAAAAATTTATTTTTTCAAAATTTATTTTCAACTACACATTATCCCATAAAATAATACTACACGTAAAACCAAAACTTTTCCATATTTTTTTGCTACAAATTCTCCACAAAAATCACTATTTCAAAACACATTTTTCCCAAAATTTCATTTTAATGGAGCCAAAACAGGGGCTTAGTTTCCAATTCCAAAGCTTACTTTAGGAAACATAATTAGGTTTGATTTAATAGATTTTGTACGATGTTTCTGACTTAGAATACAATGTTTGAAACCTTATATAAAAGTTGCTTTTGCATTGTAATAAATACAACTTTGAGAATGAAATAAAGATACTTCCTCTCTCTCAAATTCTGGTTCCATCTAATTCTTCTTCCCTTTCTATCCCCCCTCGTCTTCTCTTTTCCCTTCCTTTCTCTTCTTTTCTCTCCTTTCTCCTCCTCTTATAATTGTTTGATTGCTTCCTACGTCAATTTGGTATCAGAGGAAGTCATTTTTCTTTGTCCAAACAAATTTCATGTTCAAATTCAAAAATTAAACACCGGGTAGGTAAAAGTGGAAGTTAGTGCCTGTTAGAATCTCACATTGTTTGGGAAAATATAAATGATCCACTTAATAAGGTGAAGGCAATCCTCCCCTAATAAGCCGATTTTATTAGGGGAAGTTAGGCCCGATATTCCTAACATGGTATCAAAGCTAGGCCCAATTATACAATATTGGATGCCACCCAATATCGATTTGTTCACAATTGTTTGGTATGGTCCACGCTGTGCGTGACGGGACGTATTAGAATTCCACATTGTCTGGGAAAATATAAATGATCCACTTAATAAGGTGAAGGCAATCCTCCCCTAATAAGCCGGTTTTATTAGGGGGAGTTAGGCCCAATATTCTTAACACACCCAAAAATTCCCCGAAATCACGACAACAATTGAGAAGAAGAAATCTCGAGAAATAATTTGTTTCTACTTCTTTTGCTGCTTGTTAATAGCTAGTTAAAAAAAATAAAATTAAACACTGTTCATTTTGGGAATTTTTTTTAGTTTTTCTTTTTCGTTGTTGTATAGTTCTTTCATTATTGTTCTTAGTTTTTTTTTTTTTTCCCTAAAATTGACTATTCTTTGTAGGAGTGTGATCTATTTTGTTCATATTAATTGAATCAACCTTTCAATCAGCTTGAAGATGAATGCTTGGACAACATTTGAATCTTCCAAGTCTCGTGAGGTAACAATTTCTTTTATGTAGGTAACATACTAACATGCTTTTATTTTGTGTTTTGGCTTGTCAGTTATAAAAAAATTAAAAATTAAAAACATATCATATAACAGCAAGAACTCATATAACAAATCTTACAATTATACCATGTCCCTAGGTTGTTACCATGATATGTGTCTTCCCTTTATCAATACAATTCTTTCCAATCTAGGAACTATGTTGAAAACATTCATCATCTTCTAGGTGAGTTAACTTCCAACTATGGGACTTTGATAGTCTAACCAGTCCCGAGTCATTTCTTGATTAACTTGATAATTTTGAAAGTTCTTTGACTTTCACAAGTTGATTGACTCTCATCGTATTTGTCATGCTAATATGTCATTGTCAAATCTGCTAGGTGTTATTGAAAGTCATTTTTGCATAACATTGATTGCCTAGTTCAACACCCTGTCACTTTCTTGGATAAGATGAAACGAATCTTAAGTAATAAATACACCCATATGTATTATCGAATCCAATTGCTCAATCAATTCTTTTTGCACTTTAGATTGGGCACATCCACTGTTAGCGAATATCGACCCACTTCGTAGAGCTATTACACAGTTGTGATATTACCAAGCTTCCCATGTCACAGAGTCTAGGTTTCTCAATGGTTTGAATCTTGAAATCATATGTCACGGGAATTCGCTTCTCAATCTTTAGATGAAGGTTACCGATGGGCAATCTATGACACATATCCTTTCATCTTTGTCAAGCATGTCATATGCTAAGTCTCCCACCCTAGTCCCGACAGTTATTTCCAAAATCTGGTTATGTTATTCCTCATCACGATGAAGAACAAGATATTTTTATTGTTGAACCTATTAAATATTCGGATAGCAAGCATGAGAGTTTAGACATAATTGACCATGAAACATGAGAATTTACCTATAGAATAGCCACCTAAATATGTAAAGAAAAAGTTTTTGGATCACGCACTTGAAATCATCATACTTAAATAAATGTTTTGTTTCTAGTATAACAGAATTGTTTTCTTATCGGGGCACATTCAAGCAACCGTTATTGTAATCATTTATTTTTGTAGGCTAGTCTACCATGATCATGCATTGTGCTCCTCAAGTGGATTTGGAGGTAGTTTTAGTGGATGAGTTACATAGGTTGTTGCTTTTTGGTGTTACTTATACTTGGTCAAAAGGAAATAGCATCCCCTTGGTCACGTCATATTATTTAGATTGATTTACAAATTCAATTGACAGCATATGTTGTTTCGTCATTTGATCAAGAAGAAAGATCGCCTCATTAGCTTAAAAGTTGCAGTCTATCTCGCCGAAATCGAGTTCTCTCAACCAAGTAGAAATGATGGGAATCTTAGAAGAATATTGTACGATTATTTTCCATGTTTAGATAAATGATGGGAATCTTCGTATAGATATTATTTAATTTAGTTTCTAATTTTAATTCTTATTTTAGGAAACATAATTAGGTTTGATTGTATGGTTTCATTAGATGTTTCCTACTTAGAATAGGATCTTTGTAACATTATATAAAAGGGGCTTATGCATTGTAATAAACATAACGATGAATTTTGCTTTCGTCTAATTCTTCTTCCCTTGATATCTCCCCTCTTCTTCTCCTTCCCCCTCCTTTCTCTTCTTCCCTCCCCTTTCCCTTCTCCTATAATTGATTGAATGCATCCTACGTCAATAAAGCATCAAGCTGGGGAAGAAAAAATGTTTCTGGGAAAACAAAATAAATGGAAGCATGAGGAATATTTTGTTTACCTGCATCACCCAGATCCATGAAGAATCGGAAAACGGGCCCCTTTTTCTATCGCTCTTAGTGACTGCTGCATATATCTTCTTTAGCCACTCTGGTGTTCTACCAATTATGAGAAACACACAAAAGTGCAGGAAAAATTATCTCAAGGAATATTATATAGAACCAGTTGTAGACATAATAGAAAATGGGGGAAAAAAAATTAAGCAAGTGCAGAAACCCAATAACAAATGACAAATTCAATAACAAAGTTGTCCAGTTAAAAAAAGGTTTAAGCATCTATCTTGGGAAAATAATATCAAAATAGAGTCAAGAACATCCTAACAGTGCAGTGACCTGTTTACTGGCAAAGACAGAATGTAGGATCTAATTATAAAACCACTTAATTTTGAGGAAACAATAAAAAATAACAGAATCTCAACTCCTATGCAACAAGAAGTTAACCTTTTATACTTCGTCTATGAGGTCCAAAATATTTTTTTTCACACTTTACATGATCCACCACTACATCTCCACTTCACTTGATCAAGCGCTACATCAAACAAGGTACATCATGTATATTAAGTTAACGTAAAGAGTTACGTACTAAAAGTCTAAAAGATCCAACAAAAATCAATCTTCTGCAATTACTTCAAACATGTAAGATTTTGGCCTAGCTCTCTTTCTTCAACAGCTCTACTAGGATTGCGTCTTTTGTGAACTGGACTTTCTTTAGATTTGCAAAATACATGTCTCAAATCATCCTTCGGTCCTTCCTTTATCTTATTAATTGACTTCAGACAACTTGGGATTTGATTATATTGGAGTTTGTTATAGATGTTGTGACGGACCAAATGAAGTCGCAAAAAATTATTCATATAACCAACCTCAAATTTTATTCTTCAGTTTATCCTTAAAAGCTCTACTTGGCGTATATTTTCCGGCTATTTAATGAGCTTAAATTGTTGCAATGAGAAGCATACAACATTAAAGTTTTACTAGTATTTAGATAACTCTAACAAATCTTCAAAAAATATAGCGGATACTTTCAGGCAACTCAATGATATGAAACAAATAAAAATTGCATAACGACACAAAATATAGGCAAACAAGTTCATTTCACAGAAAAGGGATCATTTTTGCCTGTCAAAATTTGATACTTTTGGAGAGGAATGGGATATCGATATGGTTATCAGACATTAACCCGGTGCCAGAAAGGTCACGCATGCTAAAAACCTGGCCTACAAAAGCCGGCCCTCTACCTTTTCCGATCGAGATTCTCACCGTGGAAGGGAATCCCGAAACCGACTCGGGAGCATGAATTTTCTTCGCGGAAGATGCGGAGGAGGTCGGTTGGGGTGTTCCTGATTGGGTTGAGGAAGGCGATTCAAACGGGAAATTATTGAAAATACCCAAAATTCAAACGTACCTTGTCCAAAATAGCCTTTGATTTTTTAAAACTTTGAAACTCCCTAAAATATTCCTAAAAATAAGTAATTACATCCAAACAACACAAAATAAGAGAAAAATACAACCAAGACGGGAGCTTGTTTGGTAACACTAAAAATTCAATTAAAATTGAAAATATAGCCGTTATTGGGTCACACCCGTCTAATAAAAGTCACTCCTACATTATAGGATGACTAATAAAAATTATAAAAACCCTATAATTAAAAGAGGATCATACAAGATTAAAAAAATCGTAAAAGATAAAAAAGAAATTGAATCTGAAAATGAATTTGATAAAATTGGATATCAAGAACAATTGAATGCATCTCAAAAAATATTAAAATGTTTTAAAGAAAATATGATAGAAAATTTTGCTAAATGAATCGTAAGATCTATAATAATAAATGACATACAGAATATTATTGACAAACTGGAAAAAAGAAAAAACATTATTTTTAAATATGATATACATTTTAACCCAAATATAGATATAATAACAGATCTTAATATTATAAATTTCCAAATATTATTAGATTGTGAAGATTTACTTAAGATATTATTTTAAGATTTTAAGAGATTATTAGATTTTAAAATTATTAAATTATTAGATTTTTGTTAACTCATAATAGCACACTTCATTTGGTATAAGAGCCAATAGGATCTATAAAATCTATAAAAATCATAAAAATACTATTACTAAAAGAAAAATCATTAAAATAAAGATAATGGAAGTTGAAGATTTAGGTAATAAATATAAAATAATAAGGGAGAAAGTTAATATAATTATTGTAAAACCAATATTATGTAATAAAAGTGTAACAATTACATTAAATTACTTGAAAAATTATTTATAGAGATAAAATAATTTATAATTGAAAAAATAATATTAGAAATTGTTAAAGATATTATACTTATGGAATGATATTTCTGCCTATAAAAAACATATGTATGATTTAATTGTAAAAGAAATAAGTAGATATGACTAAAAATAAAGAAAATATAGAAATTACAATTACCAAAACAGACTGGTATCATATGATAAAAGAATGGTGAAAGAGAATATATAATAGAACTATATCCTAAAAAATAAAAATAGAAACATTATTTATAACTAAAAAATTACCAAGAGAAATAAGAAAACAAATATTAAATAAATTAATAATATGATACTTAATAGATGAATATATGTATTAGAAAATTAGAAAAGAAATTGAAAAAGAAGAAATAATGCTCCTTGCAGAGAAAATTATGGATTTACATGAAAGAATAATGCTTAATATAGAAAAATTTAGAGAAAAACTTGATAATGATTAAAATACGATATATGAATTGAACCAACAAATAGAGAATGTATGGTTAATATCAGATCAATAAGAAGAAAATATACCAAAAAAGTTGACAAATAGTCAAGAAAAATAAATATTAAAATTAAAACAAGAAAAATCTAGAATGAAAGCTAAATATTATAATAATTTGACACGACCTCCAACTACAGAATATAAAAAATTCTTATTTAATAAGAAAACAATAGAATCAAAAGATATTGAATATCAATTATTATATCTAACTCAATCAAAGAAAAGATAATGAATAATCAAATGGAAGATATAAAAATGTTAATAACTGATGTACAAAATTTAAAAAATGAAATAAAAGAAGAATTAGATATACTAAAAATTGAAATTAGAGAATTAAAAGAAAATAATAAAAGTAGAGACAAGAAAATAGATTTTAAAAAATTATACAAAAAGAAATGTCAAGAATAGGAAAGAAACATATATAACAAGAAAACTTAATTATTGAAATAGGAAATATGGATGATAATTTTAGAAAATATATTTTACCAAAAATATTAGAAGAAGAAGAAGAAAATTCCAAAAAAATTAGAAAAATGAAAAATTACAGAAGAAATTCAAGAATAAAGAAAAGATGAATAAAGAACCAGATCTACTAATAGAAAATTTTGATCAATTAAATTTAGAAAATATAGATGAATACCAAGTTCTAATGAATACTAGAAGATGATCTACCCCTGTGGGAACCTCTAATCAAAAATTTGATCCAAATGAAAGTTATACACTCATATATAATAAATCATACAAACAATTTTATGATAGAATAAGTCATAAACAACCACTTAGAGAAAACAAATATAAAGACAGATTTAAGTAAAATGATAATTATAATAAACCAATTAATCATGGAGGACCAAAATTGAATCTAGATTGTAAAATATATACTAAAAAAACCTTAATAACTTGGGC